TCCGCCCTCCCCTGGGCAGCCAGGCCCGGCCTTGTGTCAGGTCAGCTCTGGGAGGAGATTGGGCCTGCCTCCTGTCTGTTCACATTCCGGCTCCAATTACAGAGTGATATGTGTAATATGTATATGTGTGTGGGAGTGGCGGGGGTGAGGGGAGCGTTGGGAGAGGTGTCCTTTATTTTCAAAGAAAGATCTGGAAACTTCTTTAAGAATCCCAGAGGGAAATGGTTTGTCTGGGAGCCCTCGGGAATGAGCGGTGGTGGTCCAGAGAAGCGGGAGCGTGCCCAGCCACCTGGGCTTTTTAAAAGCCTTTGCATTTTGGGTGGCGTAGTGGTTCTGCTTTGGCCTGTGATCTGCAGGATCAGCAGTTTGAAACCACCAGCCGCTCTGCTGGAGAAAGGCGGGGCTTTCTGCTTCTGTCAAGAGTTAGGATCTGACACTCTGCCCTGTAAGGTTACTATGAGCGGCATGGACTCACTCGATGCCAATGTTTTGTTTTGTTTTTAAATTTTGTATTTTTAAAAATAATCATCGCCTGATCAATTGGATGCAGGCTGGCTGACCAGGGAGGAAGAAACAGACCCAGGTTAGGATAAAGGCAGTTCCCTTTAATGGCAAGGACGTTGTAGTCTCACTCCCACTGCTGTCCTCAGGAGGGCCTTGGTCAGCCGCTGCAACTCACTGTGTCAGCAACAGGGAAATACACAGCCTCCGAGCCACAAGGTTGGCAGTTCGAAACCACCAGCTGTTCCTGGGCAGACAGATGGGCTCTCTACTCCTGTAAACAGTTTAGTCTTAGAAACTTACAGGGACAGTGGTACCCTGCCCTACAGGGCCGTGGTGAGTGGGAACCGACGCGGGGGAGTGAGTTTGTTTTTGGAGACTGGATCAGAGCTGGGGGCAGGTGTGGCAGTATGGGCCAGAGGGTCCCTGCAGCCCCGTTCTTGAATCCACCCACAGCTGCACACAGGCCTACACCTGAGGTGCCTTGACTGGGGCTCAAACCTGGGCCTCCTGCCCCACAGAGCCACCTGGCTCGCAAGGCCTGGGCTCTGGCGAGGGCCCAGCCTTGACCCTGGAGGAATTTGAGCTGAGCCCACTGCCAAGCTCCAGCCTGACTCGATAATTGTACGGCCCCTCGGGCCACGCATACCTGCGAAGCTCGGGCCCTAATTTTTAGCTGGAAGATGTGTCAGCGCCAGCACTGGGGGACTGGGGGTGGGGTTGGAGTGGTCTTCTCTGGAGAGCCCCTTTACTTCTCCCGGGAGAGCACTTAAGCGCCTGCTAATAGATGAAGCTGCTCGCTCAAGCTCAAGGGGAGAGTGATCCCGCTGCACACTGATGGGGAACATTAACCATACAGACCGGGACAGCCAGTGCTGCTTCCAACAGCCCGGATGCGTTCCAGGGTGACTCTGGCTCCTGGTCTCCCCGACTGAGCTCTGGATCCTGTGCCTGCCAGCACTTGGCCTGAGGCACCAGCTCCCTAGGGCCATCAGTGTCTCCTACCCCTACTCTGTGTGCAGGGGAGCCTGGGGTGGGCTTGGGATAGCGGCCGTGGGCCCCCAGGAAGGAGCGCTGGGTTTGTAGAACCAGACGGTGAGGGCGGGTGGGCTGTCAGGCAGAGCCCTCCCTCATCAAACACAGTTCTGCCCACGGCTCGTTGTTGCTGGAGGTGGTCTGAGAGGCCTCTCCCTCCCCAGGCAAGATAACCATCTCCTTACGATGTCAGATTCTGAGAATGTGTCCTGACCCAGCCCCTGTCACCACCAGCCGAGACCCCGCTGCTTCTAACAGAACCCACCAGGATTGCCCTCACCATGAGGGGGTGCCCCTGGGGCTGGCTGCCTTGCGCTTTGCTGGTCCATCTCTTGGGTGGGGTGACAGGCTTGTCTGCAAGGCTGCCAGAGCCTGGGGTGGCCAGCACTGCTCCTGCTGGGGGTTGTGAGGTGGCCCGTATGACCTGTCTCTTGCTCCCCCAGGTGACCAACGAGGAGCCCAGCGCCAACCACACGGTCATGATCCAGGAGACGCTGCAGCCGAGCCTGGCGGAGGAGCACCACCTGCTGCTGTCGTCCGACGACGTGGAGGGCATCGAGACAGTGACGGTGTACACGCAGGGCGGCGAGGCCTCCGAGTTCATCCTCTACATGCAGGGCGCCGTGGCCCACGTGGAGGAGACGCCCGCCGAGAGCCCCTGCCCGCTCTAAGCGGATGGCCTGCCCTTCCCACCACTGGCATCACTCGGAACACAGGGCGGGAGCTCAGCTCCACACCCTGACCCTGTGCCCTAAGCTCCCAGCAACGCCCCCACTCATGTGTCCCCCCTCCCTCCAACCCCCTCCCACCTGCATCACCGTCCTTGCGAGATTCAGGGAAGGGCCCTGCCCCGCATTACCCCCGGGGCCCCCCAGCCCTGCCCCATCCTGGCGGACTGCGCTTGGAGACCTGTGCACCGCCTGGTCCAAGGGAGCCTGCCTCGCGGGGACAGTGGCCTTATGGGAGGGGCCCTGCTTTCTGTAGAGCCCCCCACTCCAGTACCGAGGTGCCGCTCATGCTGTGCGCGCGGCTACCTTTGGAATTCTCTAGCTGTAAAGGCGCCCCTGTCACCAGCCCTGCCCGGAGGGAGGTGAGCTGGGCCCCACACAGGCCTCCCGTAGGCCTGCGGTGCTGACCCTGTTTGAGCCCTGGGGTCTGCTTGACCACCACCCCCACCACCCTGCGTGGGGTGAAGTTTACGGTCCCTCTCCTGGTCCCCAGCCACTATGGGGAGCAGCCCCTAACACAATGTCCTGGGGGGCAATAAACGACAATCGGAAGCCTTCATGCTGCCAAGCTGACTGCAGACCGGCTGTCATGGGCTCCCAGCCACTGCGGTCCCTTGTGGGAGTCTGCAGTGGTGCAGCCACGCTGCCAAGGCCTCGCTGCATTGGGGTGCGGGGGGCGTGTCTTCCTAGAGCCCCGCCCTCAGGTGCAGTCGGCACAGGTGCATAAACCCCATCCCCACACTCGGCCACAAACTGAACAGGAGGGAGAAACCCTGCAAGTGACTTTCCTAAGTTGTGAGTGTTTCTGTCGGAATCACTGACAGGGACCAGGACACCCGGCCAGGCGCTTAACCTTCGGGAAGCTCAGTCTTATCTACAAACTGGGACGCCAGGTGGCTCGATTCCTTAGGATTTACCGTGACGATGTTCTTGGCACCTTCCAGGCACCCGAGACTCACTGGCACCCAGTGCAAGAGAAGCAAACAGCGCCGCCCGCTCTCCAGCCTCTCAGTGATGAGGTAGAGTGGAGCCCTTGGCAGCCGCCACTGTGCCCACCCTGACGGGCCCTCGCTTTCACTGCCCCTCTGCTGTACCAAGCACCATGCCGTCTTACAGGCACCAGTCTGCGACGTGTGCTGGGTTCTTCTAAGAAACATTCTTGCTGTGGTTCCTCCAAGACAGCCGTTATCCTTGTGACACGCTTGTGGTTTACTTAATACTCTTGACCAATACCATCATTCAAAGGCATCCGTTCTGTTTGTGGACTTTTCCGTTCTCTGCCTAGCTGGCACATGCGTATGAGTGGTTGAACATGCCTTGGGTCAAGTACATTTGAATCTTCAAAGGGATCTCTTTGCTTTTCAACAGCTTTAAGGAAGTTACTTGGCAGCAGTTTGCCCAGTCCAGTAAGTCCGTTTATTTCTAGACTGCGGCTTCCATGAATGTGGAACCAAGTGATGTGAAGTTCTCAATAGCGTCCACCTTCTCCGTTTGTGCTAGTGTTGTTCATCGGCCCCCTTGTGAGGGCTTTTGTCTTCGTGATGTCCGGGTGTGCTCTGTACCTATGGCGGTAAAACTTTGATCTTTATCAGTAAGTACTTCAAGTCATCTTTGCTGTCAGCAAGCAGTCGGGCTGTGCCCCCTGCATTCTGCAGTCTGTGAGGGAGCCCTCCCTCCTCCAGTCCTGATCCTGTGCTCGTCATGGAGGACAGCTTCACAGGTGACTTGCTCCAAGTACACACATGGACAGATCTCATGAAAGGCCACCACCCGACACATCTCTTGGCCAAGCAGTGTCCTTTTGCTCTGTATGAGTGAATGCCCTTGGTCCCTGCACAGGTTTTGCACGAGCGTAATCAAGAAGTGTACCAGAATTTCCAGTTTTCTTCATGTTAGCCATCATTTGTTAACGATCCACAGAGCCGAATGCCTCTGCATCGCCAATCGACAGGTAGGAATCTTTCCAGCAGTCTTTGCTTTTGCCAGCAATGGGGTTCCAGTCCACATCTTCTTCTGGATCTGGCTTGGATTTCTGGAAGTTCCCTGTTAACATACTGCTGCAGTCACTTTAAAATGAAGGTCAGCATAATGTGCTTGGGCACATGAGGAATGATACTGTTTGAACTTTTCCACATTCCTCTGGGGCACCTCCCTTTGGAATGAGCAGGGTGGCGTCCTTGTCTAGCCAGTTGGCTGTGGAGCCATCTTCTGCATTTCTTAGCCCAGCAGAGTGAGCATATCATCATGGCAGCCGTTTGTTGAAACGTCTCGGTTGGAGCCTTGTTTCTTGTCAGTATCTTAAGTGCAGCTTCGACTCCTTCCTTCAATATCAGAGGGCCTCCTGAAATGGTTAAACTTCAGCCATTCTTTTGGGGATGGTGAGCCTCTGCCACCGCCTTTTTTTTAGAAGGAATATGACACTTTTATTTCTATAGGCATATATATACACACATATATACATATATATATATTAATCATCTTATTGGGGGCTCATACAACTCTTATCACAATCCATACATACTTCCATTGTGTCAAGCACATTTGTACATTTGTTGCCATCATCATTCTCAAAACATTTGCCTTCTACTTGAGCCCTTGGCATCAGCTCCTCATGTTTTTCTCTTCCTTCCCCCCTCCCCCCATGAACCATTGATAATTGATAAATTATTATTATTTTGTCATCTCTTACACTGTCCGAAGTCTCCCTTTACCCACTTTTCTGTTGCCCGTCCCCCAGGGAGGAGGTTATATGTAGATCCCTGTAATCGGTTTCTCCATTTCTACCCCACCCTCCCTGTACCCTCCCGGTATCGCCGCTCTCACCACTGGTCCTGCGGGGATCATCTGTCCTGGATTCCCTGTGTTTCCAGTTCCTATCTGTACCAGTGTACATCCTCTGGTCTAGCCAGATTTGTAAGGTAGCATTGGGATCATGATAGTGGTGGTGGGGGGAAGCATTTAAGAACTAGAGGAAAGTTGTATGTTTCATCGTTGCTACACTGCACCCTGACTGGCTCACCTCCTCTCCACGACCCCTTCTGTAAGGGGATGTCCAGTTGCCTACAGATGGGTCTTGGTTCCCCAATCTGCACTCCCTCTCATTCACAATGATTTGATTTTTTTGTTTTTTGATGCCTGATACCTGATCCCTTCGACACCTTGTGATCACACAGGCTGGTGTGCTTCTCCCACGTGGACTTTGTTGTTTCTGAGCTAGATGGCCGCTAATTAACCTTCAAGCCTTTAAGACCCCAGATACTTATCTTTTAATAGCCAGGCACCATCAGCTTTTTTCACCACTTTGGGTTATGCACCCATTTGTTTTCTTCAGCGATTGTGTTGGGAAGGTGAGCACACAGTGATATCATTGTTTGGTCTTTGATGCCTGATACCTGATCCCTTCGACACCTCGTGATCACACAGGCTGGTGTGCTTCTTCCATGTAGAGCCTGTGCCTTCTTGGCATCTTCCTTTATGGCTTCTGACCTCCCATCTTTCAGTGCTTTGCCTGTAGAATGCTGCATCACTGCAATTCAAGACTTGAGCTTTGTCTTTGGTCTCTTCCACTTGAGATAGGTTGAGCATATTCGTCACGTTCCGTGTCCTCACCCCAGGTCTTGGCGCCTTTCATTACGATACCCTGTCTTCTCGGGCCCCTCTCTGAAACCTTCTCAGCTCTCTTCATTGCTTCTCCTGCAACATTCAGGAGCAAGCTTCTGAGCTCGGACACTGCGGACAGGCGGTGGTTTTCCCTGAGAGCAGCCAGCACATCGCGCTGCATTTTGTAGGGACGCTGTGTTGTATTCCTCCCTGTTTGTCAGGGTCGGATCTTGTGGCTACCCTGTGGTGTGTGAGCAATGGTGGCCCAGCCTGGGATGGCACTCTGCTCCCCTGTGAGCCCCATCGGCTGTTCTCCGACCCTGCAGCGCGCCAACCCCAGCATCTGTCTTCCCTCATTGTGCCTTCACCAGGCCAAGCATGTGTGCATCGATCCATTCATTCACCAGGCACGGATTCATCACCCAGCAGGGCTCGGGCATGGTTATGCTGGGAACTGGGGACATTGCTCACAAGGACACCTGGGCCGGTGGGCAGGGGCTGCGGGAAATCCACAGTCAGGTCCAGGAGGGAGGAAAGAAGGATCAGGAGGCCACAGCTCATGCCCAGGAGCTGAGGTGGCAGGGGCAGGGGCACAGCTTGGAGGCCTGTGTGTGCAGGGGGTGCAGGGCCTAGCAGGCAGAGCAAGGCAATGTGGCCCCAAAGCTGGAACCAACATGACCCACCAGGAATGGGCCAGCAGTCAAGGCCAGGAGTGAATGTGGACACGTCCTGGGGGTGGGGTGGTGCCGGTATCCCTCAGATCACCCGCTCACCCTCCCTTTGACTCCCACAAAGCTCTGCACTGGACCCAAAAGGGACAACTAGAGACTGCCAGCCTCTCTCCCCAGGAGCTACTGCGTGGTTCAGACTGCTGACTGCTGGCAGCCGAGTGCTTCGCCGCTGCACCCCCAGGGCCCCTGAGTTACTGCTCTTTAATCATCAGCCTACCTGCACCTCGGTGACACTGGACTGCCATCCCACACCCGACATAGTGGTGGCCTCATTGAAGCCTCCCAACCACCCATCCAGATGGGCACTGCCATCACAGTCTTTTCAAGGGAGACTCTCAGGCTCTCAGGGCTGGGGCCATCTGTGCCCAGACCTCACGAGTGAACTGGTCTTGCCTGAGGTGTTGGTCAGGCTTCCTTGGAGAAGCAGAACCAGTGACAGACAGACAGACAGACAGACACACACACACACACACACACACACACACACAGCAGGTAGTAAAGAACTCGGGCTGGGACAAAAGCCAATGCGTGCTAAGCAATGGGGAGTGCCGAACAATGCATGGACTACATGTGTGTGTATCGAGGAAGTGACTCACAGGGTTGTAGAAATGGGTAAGTCCAGTTTGGTTCAGGTCTGTGGGTCAGAGGCTAAGCTGGGGGACGTTCCCTGGCTTGTGTAGCTGTAGGAGCTGAAGACCAGGAAGCAGGGAAGACCAAGGAGGAAGATCACAGCTGGAGGAGTCAGGAGTGGATGAGGTCCCAGGTTGCAGGTCAGGTGTTAGGCTCTGATGACTCCCAAGGTCAGCAAGCAATATGGCAGGTCAATGAGCCAGATGCAGGATCCAGACCCTCTACCTCCATGGTGTCTACTTATAAAGGCCCCTGAGGCAA